ACCAGGGAAGTAGAGGGAGATGAGGGCAGGGCCAGGACCAGAAGTGGTGCTCCTGGAGCCCAAGAAAGAGACTGAGTTGCTCTGGGTGAGAAGGGTCAGGAAGCAGTATTGGTTCCCCAGGTGTCTGGGGCCCCAAGACTAGGAATGGTGCAGGGTCCAAACTAGGAGTATAGAACGGTGGGAGGGATAGAAGGGTGAATGTGGCTTAGGGAGTCCCGGCGAGGAGAGCTGCACTATAGACTTACCCCAAGAGGCTTGAGGATAATAGTGAAGGCTAGGAGAGTTAGCTGGTGGTGCAGGCCCAGGGAAGCAGAGAGAGGTGAGGGCGGGGCCCTGGAGCCCAAGAAAGGGACTGAGAGACTCAACATCTTTTAAAACTGAGTTTATCAAAATATGACGTTCTCTTTCGCTGGCATAAACCAATCATTGTCAGCAGTGTGATTGCTGACTTTAAATGTCAACTTGCTATTAGCCTAGAATTATCTGGGAAAGTGTTTCAGTTAAGGAATTCTTTAGATATGGTTGCCATGTGAGCGTGTCTGTGAGTGGGGGTGGGGAGTGTCTAACTGTTAATTGATATAGGAAGGCCCAACCCACTGTGGGCAGCACCATTCCCTGGACAAGAGCTCTTGACCTGTGTAGGACAGGAAAGAAGCTAGCTGAGCAGCAGTAAGCAAGGATGCCTGTATTTTCTCTTTGCCCTTCACTGTGGATGTCTTATGCCTAGCTGTCTGAGTTCCTCCTTGCAGTGATGGACAGTAACCTGGATGTATAAACCAAATAAAAGCCTTTCCTCACCAAGTTTTTTTTTGGTCAGGTATTTTATCACAGCGATAGAAATGAAACCTGAACAAGCAAGCATGAAGATTAGTGTTGTTTAAACACCATCAGAGAACAACATGTATTTTTGTTTTTGTTGTGCTAAGCTTTCAGATAAAAATATTCTGAGGCAATTTGCACCATTAAACCAAATATAAATGTCTATATAAATTTTAACATACACTGTTATATGGAAGAAATTTTTATAATTGTGTGTGTGTGTGTGTGTGTGTGTGTGTGTACAAGGGCATACAATTAGTACAAAAATAATGTCAGGGTTTCCAAGGACAGCATGAGTCAGTGTTCATGGGCAGAATTCAGAGGAATGATGTGGAGAGAGCTAGCATCCAGTACCATTCCAGAGTTCCTTAAGGAAAGATCCTGTACTTTATCTCACTCTTCTAAGGATATTTGAATTTTGCCTCCAAATATATTGGAATGATAAAGCACATTATTTTCTGTATGAATGTAACATGCATAAATATGCTTTTAACCTGAAACAAAGTCTTATTGTAGGTAATCTGTATGGCCTCTAAATGTGGTTTTTAAATTACAGACATTGTATTTCTTTACATGAATCTATTTTTAATAAATCTGCAGGTGAAAGGTACAGGTGATATATGATTTATTTATATCAAGATAAATTAATGTTTTTCTCCAAATCTCATGAGCTCAATTCTAAATGTTAAACCTTAATCTTCCATATGCTGTTGTGTAGCAAGAAATCTCTAACACAAAATCATGGTTAGATGCTTGAAAATAAGTAGTCTTTCCTGAGGCCACAGAATACTTCAGGGATAAAAAAGAGACAAATAAGTGTCACTATGCCCAGTCTGGGGTATTTAACTTAAACCGGGCATGAGGCTCAGCAACTGTATAATCTCATTTAATCCTTTACATGTTGTGATTCAGATGTGTCTCCATTTAAGAACTGAACAAAGAGGCACACAGGGCATCTTAGACATAAATTTAATCACGGACACTAACACAGCTAGGCACTGTTAACTCTAAAAATTTTGTCTTTAAACACAGGAGATAGATCCTGGACAAACTAAAAATGTGATTTGGCTCCTGCCCTTTCTACCATGTAATCTTAGTCAAGGGCTTTGGTAGTGCTGAGCCTCAATTTCAATGTTTGTAAATGTGTGTAATGGTTCCTTCTGCACAGAATTGTGTGGGAAAATAATACGCCTATACACCTATCCTCATCATATTCCTTCCTGAAAATAAATATTCAATGCCAATTTCTTTATTTTAAAATTTAATTTGAATTATTGTTTAAATGATGCTTTTTAATTTGTTCCTTGAAAATTTCATACATTTTACAGAATGGAGTTTGATCATATCCACTCCCTACCTTCTCCCTCCAGCTCCCCCACTGGTGTGTTAGTGAGCATACATGTAAGCATGTGTATTTTTGTGTGGACTGTTGCTCACATGCGTGAGTGTATATGTGAGGCCAGAGGTCAATCTCGGGCATTGTTTCTGAGATACCATCTACTGTGTTTTTGAGATAAGGTCCCTCTTTAACCTAGAGCTCACCAATTCAGCTAAGTTGACTGGCCAGTGGGCTCCAAGGATCTTCCTGTCTCTACCCAGCACTATGATTACAAGAAAATACCACCACAACAGAT